ACTTTATCAATTTTTATTACGCACATTTCGGGCACATTTATTGTATCTATAACAGCAGACATCAATTCCTTTCTTTTGATATTTTACTAAATTTGACTATACTGAAAAAAAAAAATCGAAAAATCAACCCTCAAAATTGGGTAAACCGTCATGGCACAATTACGGCACATAAGTTATTTCGACAGCATATTTCGCGCACAGTTTTTTTTAGCCCTGTTACGACGAAATATCTTCAAGTTGAAATTTTTTAACTATGCATACGAATCGAATTAGACACTCATCACCTGAATGAATTCAAAGTGTATGAGAATGACATTAACGGCAATAGCACGTGATAGTCGCCGCCTCACTTTCATTGTATGACACGCGCGCGCACGTATGTACATACATCTTTGAAGAATTAAGTTATACATCTCGCCACTGCCATCACCGGTACTAGTAATAAACAGCCATAACACTTTCCTTTGTTCATTCCTGTACATACGAATCGAATGTGTGGTGGTTTCTCATGGGAAACACCAAAAACCAAATCCCAAACATTCGTGATTTTCATCGGTGTATTTGAATGGACGGCAGATCATCAAATTTTTATCATTGTAATCGAGAAAAGTTAACTCCGTGATTTGAGTACAGTCTGTATGGACATGTTGGGACAAACAAAAACGTACGTAACGTTTTTGAAGTGATAGGATTTTTAGACGAAGATTTACAAGAATACACACTATACGAAGCGTCAAAAAATCTAATGGAAAAACGATGGCAAAGTCTCACCCTTTGGGGAAGAGAGAAAGCGAGAGTAGTAGAAACGTATGCAGTGATCAAAAGCAGGTTGAAATAGAGAAACAAAGCGAGTGTACAAAGGACGAAAATGAAAACGGAAAGACAAAGTGAACGTGAGTGGTGCGCAATCAGCGATTCAATTTAATATTCGGATGGTTCGATAGTCAGGCGGTTCTCTGTCTCTCTATCTTATGGTGGCCACATGAAAGTGCCATTTTGTTGTGTATCATTTCGAAAGTTCGTCGGCTGTTCCCTTGAGAAAGTGACAAACTGCCACATACACGAATTTTTGGCCATCGTATCATGTGCACTTACTGCTTTCGCCACACGGTACGACAACGACCACGACCACGACACACAAAAAGCAACAAAAACTACGTACGCACTATTTAGAATTTTTTTTTGTGCTTTTGGCTTGCTTTCAATTGAATTTTACTTCATTCGCTCTCCTTGCGCTGCTGCTCGTCATCGCCGTCGTCGTGGTTGTTGTTGTTGCGTTTTTCTTTATGTTTCATTCGTATGATGATTATTGCTATTTGGTATTGTTTTAGAGCTGGGCGGATTTATTTGTTTCGTGCATTGGGCTCTCTGGTAAACGTGTGTGCCAGGCGCGCGTACTACGTTCGTATCGCTTGAGAGATTTCTATTTTACTTTTTTTTATTATTAGCCCCCGCGTATTTAAGTGAAGTCAGTGAGGACGCGCGGCGGTGGAGAGAGACCAACCAACGGTTCCCCCATTCTCCTGCCTCCGACCACTATATTTTACATATTATATATAGAGTATGAATTGAAGTGGTTTTTGCTTTATTTATGAGATCCCTTCATGTGATTTTCCCAGTGAATATTCATGATTATCATGCACTCATTTCACTCCATTTTCCGTTCCGACTCTCTTCGTTCCATTCTACCTCTCCACTACTCAATTTTTTTTTTGCTTTCTCTCTCTCGCTCGCTCGCTTGCTCGCTCGATCTATATCGAGAGAGAAAAATAGACGAAGAGGGAAAAAAATCAACAATACACATTTCCATATATGATCTACCTGTGGGGGTGATTCATATACGTGTGTGTGTATGAAGCTTATAATTGCATTCACAACAGGCCGTTTATTGTGACTAATACACAATGATTTCAGGTCATTTGTATGTTGTTTTACAATTGTTAATTCATTATAGTCGCTTGCCCTAGCCATAATGTTGCCAGGAAACAAACGCCATATACATATATATTTCCATGCGATACACACATTTATATATATATATATGTATGAAGAGTGAATACATACACGTCAGACCAACCGAACCGAAAGCTTTTCGATTCCGGTGGCTAAACGACAAACAGTCATTATCGTGCCACATAAACTGTGAATGAGAGTTATGAGATATTTTAAATTCAAAATAGCAAAAATTAAAAGCCAACAGGAATGAGCTGAAGCGAGAGCGAGCTAAAGTCGAACGGGGGAAGAGAAGAGAGATGAATGACCCGTATAACTACATAAAATGATTCAATAATTGTATTTAGCATTCTAAATTGGGCTTAACCTCATCGAGTCTGCATCATTGCACCACAAAATTGCTGCCATAAAAAAATCGCTTCAGTTGTTTGTTTAACGAGTTGTCCCCATTGCTGTTGCTGATTTAGAATCATCCATTCACCCGTCGTCCCATTCCATCTGTCGTGCCTCTCTTCACCAACCACTCGTTTGCTCATCATTCAGACTGGTGAAAAAGCGTTATTTTTGCGATTGACAGAAATATAATGTTGACCATTCTCATTCGACCCATAAAATTTCCGCGACTACATCATTTTTCCTCAATCACTCTCGCTCTCTTTTTCTTTCGTTTGCTCTCTCTTCTTAACTCGCTCTATCTCTCTTTCCCTATTCCCCCATGCTCTCCTCGTTCTATGTACGTGTTTGCATGTGTACCGATTCAGTTGTTAAATCTCAATGAAACATTTTTTTTACTGTTGTTCTCTAAGTCAACAAAATCTGATTCAGGATTGTATTACACACATTCTATCAACAAGATACAACAATAACAACATCCAAATGCTGCAACATTGCAATAGATTTTGCGAAATGCAAACGCGTTTTCAAACATTGAAAAATAAACGCTGCATGAAATAAAAACACATGAATATCCACCCAAAATAATCGATCGGGAGTAACAGAGCAAAAAAAAAACACGAAAAAAAGTGTGTGAGAGAGAGAGAGAGAGAGAATCAACAACGACCGAGAACGGAATCGAAAACAAACAACCAAGCGAAAAACCAACAACAAGTTTCTAAACATCGAGTAAAACGTGTGAATAAAAACGTAAGAAGAATCTTTGATTCGCCGGAATGCGATCGATCGCAGCGAAAACATTGACAATTTGCACGGTAATCGTGTTTGGCTGCCCTTAGGCAACGATTTTGAATGAATTGATTTGTAGTTTGGTTACGAATTGCCGAATTGTAAGCTGCTTGGGCACTAGTTTTGCTCGATTTCCACAGGTGCAGCCGCGAGCTGCGGCAAATTTGAAAATTCATTCATACCGTCATACTAAAGATTCTTTCGAATCGCGCTGTCGTTGATCCGTGTGAATGTAAGTTTCTGTTATTTATTTTTTTCTTCTCTTCTCACTCTTTCTCTCTCCTTTTTTCTGTTTCTCATGATTCTCGTTCTTTTTTTCGGGTATATACAAGTATGTGTTTGTATGTTGATTTTGTGTTTTTCCTCAAAATCAATAAAATCAAATAAATTCGTCGTCGTTGTCGCGTTGTTCGTGTGTTACTACGGTTCTTCTTGCTATCGCTACAACGACTAGCTGGCTGAAATTATGATTATTTCATCGTTTGGCAATCCCCAGATTTGAAATTTTCAAATTTTCTGATCGTTTTGAAATATTTTGATTCACGTGAATTCTTAAGATTTTGAATTTGAGTTTGAAATGAAAAAAATGTAACGTTTCGTGTGCATTTTAAGTGTTGAAACTGGAATTTCGGTGTGAACAATTCGGTTCACTGAACATTTCCATTTTTGAGATTTTTTGTTGTGTGAACTTGTTCCAAAAATTCACCTTTTACGTTTAAAATGTCAAAAATGTCATTTTTGTTGAAATGACCATATTCATCGAAAGAGCATAAAATCAATTCGACACAAATGGTCGACAGACGAGAGAGAGAGAGAGTGCGAAAAAGGGAAAGGGGATAGAAAAAACGAAATAACTTGACACACAAAACGCGCCATCCCATTCGATGGCGGGAATAAAAGCTTTGGATTTTGACACTTCAGCACAAAACGGCAATTGAACGAACAACATTTTTTTTCGCTCTATTCTTTCCTACCTCCCTCGCTCTGTATGTGTTTCTCTCCGTTAAAACACGAAAAGCTGATAGCATTAAAATGCCTGGCACTCTTCTTTTTCGCTGTTATTTTCTCCCTTCTTCATCACACAGCCGTCACAATAGCGAGAGGCGAGAGCAAGGAGCTAGAGGCAAAGACACGAAAAATTATCACCCGAACAAAACTGAGCAATTTTCGCGCACACACACACACACAATGTGTGTTTTTTCTCTGTCTCACTCTCGTCTTCGCTCTCTGTCGTTTCTCGTTGTTGTTAGTGGTTGGCTTTTGTTTCTTTCGGAAGGGAGAGAGAGCAACAAAAACAACGAGTAGCAGCAGCTCAAAAGTTGAAAATCAACCAGTAAATCGAAATAGAAACAGATAATGAGAGCCGAGCCAAATTCGGGAAAAAAGGCCAAAAGAGTCGCTCTTCGAAATATCTATCATAGAAAAGTTGATAAATTATCAGCATCGATTCTATCGCTGCGAGCAAACCGATTTCTATCGCATTCAGTTCGACCTAACCGAATTTTGTTGTGCTTTCGTTAGATTTTTTTTTTAGCAAACACACGCACACACAAATGATTCGCTCTCTTCGATTCTCGCTTCGCTTGCTCTCAATTGCTTCTAATAATGTTTTTTAGTTCAGTTCTTTATATTATTTCGCTTTGTCGCTCGCTTTTCTAATCCATTGCTTGTTTTTGTTGTTCATGTCGTTTTTTTACTCTCTCTCTCTCTCTCTCTCTCTCTCTCACTCTCTCTCTCTTTCTCTCTCTCTCTCTCTCTATCTCTTGATTGATATTGTAGTTTTTGGATTTTTGAAAACAAAAATTTTCGGATTAGATTTTATGTTGTTGTTTTTTCTTGCTGTAACATAAACAAGCTTTACACACCATAGCTATCGCATTTTTTTATTCTTTCGTTCAGCTGTCGTCTTCCTCTTTAAACCTTGCCTCACTCGCTGTGTATGTGTATGTTTTCCTATTTCTCTCGTTCTCGCTCTCGCTCTTGCTTCGGAACTCTTTCAAAATCGACACTTAATCACTTCAACATTATACACGATTATTTTCCGTGTGCTCGAATTGTTCAATCGTTTTTTTTTTCTTTCCTTCTTTCGTTCCTTCGTTCTCTCTTCGGAATTCTGATAGTCTGCGTTGTATTCGATGTGCTTTTGCTGTTTTCGCGTTTTTTTCTTCTTTCTTTTTGATTTGCTTGCAATTTTTCGCTTCTGTTTCACATTCAATTTTTTCTTTTGCTTCGTTTCGTTCCGTTTTCGTGTAAAACATACAAACACCAATTTGCCTTCGCTGCCTCGATATTTTCTTTTCGGATTTTCGGATAATATCAAATATATCAAACACGAGAAAGAAAAACGAGAACGGAGACAATTTTTTGAACACAAAAACAGTAATAGAACCAACCGAAAATTGTTTGACTTTGTTTTTTCTTCTTCTTCTTCTTCTTCTTCTTGGGTTTCAACTTTTATTTCTATTATTTCGAGAGAAACCGAACAAAAAAATAAACTAGATGATAAAAACTAGAGTTAAATCGAGAAAAAGATAAAAATGTTTTTTTTCTTCTTTTTTACTTCACTTCTTTTTCACTTTACAATACAATTATAACACGCGCGTAACACATTAAACGAGCAATGTCTGTTTTCGTTTTCAGTTCTCGCACTCTTGTGAATGTAAAGTTTGTTCTTAGTTTTTCTCGCACACAAATGTGTGTGGTGAGAGCGCTTCTCTGTCTCTCATTCTAACGTGTTGCAATTGTATGTGTGAGTGTGTTTTCTTCGTTCCGTTTCGTTTCGTTCGTTCTACTCGCAATCTATCTCATTCTCTCTCTATTAGTTCATTTTCTCTTTTTTTTCTCGCTTTTCATCGATGTTCTTGTTGTGATTTTTCTCCTGTTTTCGTTGCTCGGTGTTCTCTGTGTGCGCGCTTTACATTTTGTTTCACATCTTTACAGTTGTGAGAGGGCCCACCGTATTTTCATTCCGTGTATACGTCCTCGATTGTGTCAATGTATACACACACAATTTATGTTTAGCTGCTCCTAAGCAGCGATTCAATGGCCGCACATGTATGCATTGATGCGTATTGGTATTGGTGAAAATGCTTTTACTTTGCTCCAAATGCGACTCTGTCTCACTCGAACGCCCATTTTCCACCAACTTGACATTTCGTTCATCGCTTTTTCATTCGTTGCATTGCGCGTGAGCGAGCTGTTCGTGTTGCTATTTGACAAAAGAAAACGAAAAAGAAAAAGAAAACGTGCACACACATACGACACAAACACATCATTTTCTCGTGTGTGCCTATGAAGCGCACATTTTCGCTCGTGTTGTATTCCGTGTATCGGTGTCGCGAAGCACACACGAGTCAACGGTTTCATTTTCCATCTCTATATTTTTGCGTTTATGAAGCGGGTGAGCGAGCGAGATGAAGCAAGTACAGGAGTGCGATAGAAAGAGCAAGAAAGAGAGGAGGAACGATTATTTTTCCTTCGTTTTCCTTTTGCTTTTCGGTGTGGATTTTCATTTCGAATTCGGTTTGAATTGGATAGAAAGCGCTGACGCTTTATTGTCGCGCTTCTTGTTTTGCTATCGCAGCACACAGTTGAAAATGATGACTACGACGACGACGACGATGTCGACAATACAAAGGCAAATCAATTGACTATCGACATACGTTTGATTTTATTTTATTTTTTTTTCCTCTTTTTTATGGTGATGCTGATTAAATCCAACAACTCATGACGTACCTCCGGTTCACCGTATATTCCAATTGAAAATTGTGATCCATGTTTTTCCATTCTTTGTATTCATAATTGACAAAGGAATTACAATTTATTGGGTTGAAAATGATCGAAATGGATATGGAAAATGGCACAATTCGCCCTACATTACTATGTATTCAATGGATATATGGGAACAAATGAATTGAATGGTATAGAGAGGACGAGGTAGAGGGAGAGCGTATTGACGAGCTAGAGGGAGAAAAGGAGAGAGAAAGTGGGAGATGGATTTATAGCTACAGCTAGAGTTGAAATTGTGGAGCAGAACATGAGGATGAGAATGAGCGAGCGCATCGAACAATGGGACGCTTTTCCAAGCACGGGGGGGGCACCCACAGAAACAATGCGCATATTGAATTTGCAAATTAAGGTTCCTCCAACACATTTCGGCAACGAGAGAAGAAGAAAAAGACGACGACAACGACGACGACGACGTCGACGACGATGTCGAGAAAGAAAAAACCACACGAAGAAAACGGAACCGTTCGTCACAATTTGCATATTCAAATTTTTCGGTCTTTGTGTGTGCGGGACAGAGTGAGCTGTACGCTATTTCGGTGTGATTGGGCGACTATTTTGGAGTATAACATTCGGTATGTATCGAAATGGTACAACAAGTTTTTCATTGTTTTTTTCTGTGCTGGAAAAAAAACATGGCCGAAGTGGGCGAGAGTGAGAGGGAGAGATTGTGTGTGTGTGTGTGTGTGTACGCCAAATATTCCGAATAGAAAAAGTGAATACATATTCCAGCACAGAGCACACAGCGAAAATGTTTTGCAGTGAATAGAGTGAATCGAGTCGGCCGAGGCGCAGCCAAAAAACCATATTCCGAGTCCGGGGCTTTTTCGGCGGAGGACATTTTAGATGTCAAAACAGCGAAATAATAATAATAACAACAACGAAAAACAGGCAAACTTCGATTTTAATTCGCAATCTCGAATTCAATACCCACATTTTTCAGACTCTCCGGCCTAGTTTACCGAATGAAAATGTTCAATCGAAACGTAGCCAACACACACACACACACACACATACACACGTGTGCCATTGTCAACCAAAAGCATTTCGACTGGATTTTTTGTTTGCTTTCGCTCGCTTCCGTCAATAGTGTAGCTAAAACGAATTTGGAGGATGAACAAAAACAACAACATTATATTTAAAAACAAAATAAACCAAATCAACAACAAAGTGTGGAGAATGAGGAGTCAATTTTTTTTTCCCTTAGAAGAGTTCATGGTGCTTGTAGTTCAGCGTGTTTTACAAATGAGAGCAGAAAAAAAATTCCATTATTTCGAAAGCGAAACGGCAGTATTCGAAGGGCAAAACACTTATCGAATGGTGCTACTAAATGCTTTCGCGTTCTACAACACATTGCCTCACACGCACACAGACACAGTAACATTTGGTTGTGTTAGCACAGACACAGAAATAAGGGGAGAGTATTTCACGCTCTCTCTCTCTCTCTCTCTCTTACTCTTTTGCTCATAGTCTCTCCCTCTCTCTCTCTATCTCTCTCTCTCTCTCTCTCTCTCTCTCTATCTCTCTCTCTCTATCTCTCTATAGCGCGTTTCTTGTAAACATGTGCATTTCACACGAAAATTTTCCCAGTTTACTGCTGCAGTACATTTGCTTGGTGAAAGTGCTGCCGTTGGTGCTGCTACTTGCTGCACATATATTTACACAGAACCATCCATACACTTTTCCACTATAGACCGTGGATGTTTGGCACCATGAAACTGGAATACACAATTACACACGTTATCTTTAGCTTGAACAACCGAATTCGCTTCACAAACTATGTCATTCTATATGTATGGGTGCGCTAACGGTACACATCACATTCACCCACGATAAACCACAACATATACGACAAACACCGATACATCAAACACTCTTAGACCGGCTAATGGAATTGACTTTCGCGCTTTTCAACGAATGCAACGGAATCATATCTTTTTTTCGTTTCCTCTGTTCATTTTGTCAGTTGTTCGCCCCAATTTTCTTAACCCGAACAACAACAAAAACTCATGGGCTTGCGTCGAAACTTTTTTTTTTTATTTCAATTTGAGATTTTGAACCACTTTCAGCTAATATTTTCTGATAAATTTGAAATCTATGTGATCAATTGATGGAATATCGATATTTTTCTCTTGAATGAGTCGTAATTCTTTCAATTAGGGACCAAAATTGAACAATTCAACAAAAAAATCAGAAAAACGTATCTTCGAACAGTCAGAAAATTCAATTTAGAAAGCAATCCCGAATGAAAATGACGAAAAAAGAAAATCCAAAAAGATCTCTTCCAAAACCAACTGTTTCTTTATTTTGCTCGAAAATAAGAAAAAAAATCCTTCGTGAAGAAACGAAATGAACGACTCAGCGCCGTACCGTGAAAACAACTATAAACTGTTTCAATGTACAATGTGCTTTTGAAACTTAAATACAAAGTACGTCCAAATCGAAGGCTGCGGTGGAACGAAAACTGAATGAATCGATTGAACTTCAAGTGGAAAAAGCCCAAAAAGATACTCAATAAGCTTCAATACGATGTGTACTTAAAATACGAGCCATTTCAAATGTGAACTACGTGCAAAACTGATGCGATAGATGCCGACACACATTTTCCCCCATAAAGTTTTCATTCGTCGCATCGAAAACACTTGATCAAATAGAGTAAATTATGTTTGTCAAATCGCAGTTACTCTATAATCCATAATCAAAACTATACTATTTAGAACTTTATAAAAGTGAATATTATTTCACTGATTACTTGAATATTGTAATACAGTTGATACCAACGTAAGTACTTATCAGCAAACAATTGCAGTTACTTCATCAATTGGTGGTTTTATTTGCCACCCGATAGCTAATACGAATGAAACAAAGCCTTATCTATGACAATAACGACTTGTAAATCAAACAACCTAGATTAAAACAGAGAACCTCCGAAACGATGTCGGTATCAAAATTGTACCGAAAGAAGCGCCGCATGTCCATAACAACAGATCAGACTCTATACAACACATATACAGACGAATCCCCACTCTTCCTACAGTTGCGACCGATGTGTGCTGTGGCTGAATGCTATTGCATCGCTGTTATTGCGAGTGTATATTGGTCAACAAACGTTTGGTTTTGGTTCTCAATTATAAGAATTCAAATACTTTACACTCGCACACACAAAACAACACGCTCAAAACATGTAAACACAAATACGGTGTCTGTATGAAAAACTGCGTTTCATTTTTCTGAATATTTTGTGTTGGTGCGTCGTACGAAAATTGTTAGATGCTGCAATATGACTTGTTGCCTTTTTGACACAACCGTGAGCAGTGAGCATCACTGTGAGCAATGGCAATACAAATAAATAACTATTCATTCCAATCCGTATTGGCCATCCATCACTCAAGCGTTGGTGATAGCGTATTACGCACGCTCATTTAAGTGCGAAAGGGACAATTGTTTGTTTTCATAAAAATGCGATTTTCCCCTCAAAAATGTCCGCTCTTTTCCATCATCAACAACAACAACAACAACAACAACAACAAGCGTTTAAAGACCATTCACTCAAATCACATTTAACAGAATCTAAATGCCGTCTTCGAGGTCTACCTCTACCTCTCGGACCATTCGCTTCAGCATTCAAAATTAACTTAGGTAAACTAATTTTACCATGTGTACTGATTTTATCAGTACTATACTGATTTTTGGCCAATTTTTTTCGTTCGATACTGATTTTTTAATCTTCGTACTGATTTTATACTGATTTTTGAAATTTTGCACAGAAATACTTGACTTTTGGCAGAAAAATTCATGTTTCTGTTAAAGAAAATTGTCAAAAAAAGCTCAGAAAAGCACGAGACGCAATT